CTGCTGAGAAAGTCCTACTCACTGCCTTCAGGGGGCGGAGGTTTTTCCCATCAAAGTGAGAAGACGAAAAGCTGATATCCGGAGCTATAACTGGGTTGAAGAACCACTGGCGGTTCACCTAAGGGAGTTGGCTAGAAACCCAGATTCCCAAACGACCAAAGGAGGTGTACGAACCACACCCATACCTTTTCGGTTGTGGCATTGGTCACCGGCTCGCTTGGACATCAAGGTGTATTGGGCACCTTGGACGTTTGACCCCGTCCGAAGGCCGTATAATCTGATCAACTGAACATCGACCTCAAATAGATTGCGGTTTTCACACACACACACACCCGCTGCCTTGCGGGTCAGGCTTTGGATTGCCGAAGACTCCGGTTGTGGATTCCTCAAGATAATTCACCTACCTCGGCCTAGGAAACATGGCAGTATTCCGCCCACGTGCAGATGAAGGAACTATTTTCTGTTTATAAAGATTATTGTACCATGATTTGTTTGGCCTCAGACGTGTGTGAAAATAAAAATAAAAATGTTCAAATGCTTTTTTTAGACACATATGATCTTCAATGAGACAAACCATCATAGATTTAACAAACCAGATCCGCAGGTAAAACAATGCTTTCCTTCTGATTATATATAACACGGTTAGCACTGATGGTGCCAATTCTGGGCTTGGTGCTCACTTTTGCATCATTTTGTCTTGTTCACCACTGGTAGCTTCAACGTATAACTCATCGATTTACTGAACTGCGGGCTGAATAAATGTGTTTTACTCTCGCCGTCCGCACTCCCAGGTTCTGCACTAATCTTGTACCTATCCGTTTTGCTTTCACAGTCAAGCAGAAGTGGAACGTTGTCGGGGCAATCCACTCACCAGCCATGATTTGTTGCAACATGTTGTGGACTCTGTCACCGAACGATTGGGCCTGTCTGTTGATGCCTGTGACCGATTCTCAATAGGACTACAATCCAGTAGCGCTGTCAACCGGCAGGAATCCAAAGAATTACCGTTTACACGAGTCCAATTCCCGCAGTTCAATCGACAGATTCCCGTCGGTGGTCAAGTGAAACTGGCACAAATCGGTTTACGCGCGCACCTTGCACTGGTATGTCAACCAATAGCATTTCGGTTTTTCGGAACCCGGTGATCTTTTTGCCTTGGATCCTAGTTTGTTTGGTTTACGCTCTGATACGAAAGAACGAGAGAGGGAGCACAAATAAATGCCCTGTCGATGTTCCCCCCGGTCCGCCGGATCCTCGAAAGATGGACGTCGGAGCTGGCTTTATCTCGAGGACTTCATTGGACAGCTGTAGCACACCCACACTGGGCGGCCTCTGAGCAACAAGGTGATGTTCTATCCGTATTCCGCGTGTCTCACCGGGTGCATGAAGCTATGGCTTAATCACGAACGACGGGTCGGTAATCGACGCAACAGGAGTCATCAAAACAGAAACAAAACCCAAAGGCTTTATGTAATCGGGCTGTCGAGACTTTCCCTCAAAGTTGCGTGCTCCCTCGTGTTGGATCTATGCCTTATTAGCTTTTGGGGTCAGATTTTTGAATCCAAAAGTTCCTTCCAGGGTTCCCAAAAGATACTTTCTTCATCGTTGTGAGTTACCACCAGATATACCGTGCCTTAAGATCTCACACACGAAGTTGGAAAACCTTTCTCGTCTTTTTAGTTCTTCCTCTCTCATTCCCAGGTAATATCTTCTGTTTCAGCCATTTAGGGCAACCTAATCAAAAGCTGTTGGATTGATTCATCTAAAATCTGTTCTTCACTTAGCTCGCAGTCAACTTTCACATACTCCTGTAAGCTGTCTTACCTGTAACCCTTGAAAACTTCAAGCGTTCTCCCCACGCTTTGGTAGAAAACGTGGTAGTGGTAGCACAGTGGTTTAGTCGCTGTCACCGACGTGCTTCGGATCCTGTGGTCCGAGATTCGATCCCCACCACCACCAACCAACTTTGGTAGTAGGCAACTTTGCTGTCATTTGGTTCAGCATCAAGCCGGACCTAAGGGGGCCTTATGTGGTTCACCACTCCAAGTCCCGGGGCTAAGGATGCCCGTTACCATCACCAAACAGCAGGTCTTCGCGATTACGCGGTTCATCACACACGGGTGTCTAATAAAAAATAGTGTCACTTGGA